AAACTCTCAAAAAATGAGAGTAAACCTTAATTCTCCACAAACAAGGAATTCTTGTTAAGTAAAACAAAATATACTGATCTGTTACACAGAAATCTAATACAAGAGTTTAGGAGCTCCCAAATGAAGTACATGATTCTGAGATCTCTACAGCTAACCTGAACTTAAATATGCCAATTGTCTAAATTTTTTAGCATACTCAAGTCTATATTGTGCATTAGTTACCTCACTTGAGTAGCATGAGGTGTGCAAACTAAGAGTGTGACTGCCCACAGGTCCCCTGATGGGATAGTAGTAAGTTTACAGACTTAAAATGCTAAAATCCAAATCTCAATTCCCCATGGCAGACACAGCAGATAGCCTAGACGTTTCAAAACATGTAGAGTCGTCAACTTTTTGAAGGCCATAGATATGCCTAAATAAAATGTTTTTAATTGTGTACCAGTTTAACGTTGAATATTATTTACGATTTTAACTTTATACACAAGTGCCAAAAGACTATAAGTAACTGACCTTGTTTCAGTAGCTTGCTTTCACACTTTTGGACAACCCCCAATGTTACTATAAAAATTTATGTTATTAATTTTTCTACATAACATTGAACTTTTATTAACTTTTCTAATTTAATGTCCTTATTGTGCCATTTAGAATATAAATGTTGAAATTTAATTACTTGTGCTATGTTTGTAATTCTACTGAAGATGTAGTCACTGTACTGAAATGAAGGGAGTTAAGCTAAAAAGTTATGCTAAATAATTAATATTAGAAGGTTTTACTGAGAGCTTATTTTCTTAAATACTCTGAAAGCACTGGAACTTCCTTTACTTAGGGAAATGAATAAATACAATTTGAATAGTTTTGAATTAGTAACATATAAGAAATAGATAAATAGTAACTTAGACAAAGCAATTAGAAATAGGTTACAAATGAAGAACTGAGCTTTCAATATTAATAATCCTATCTTTCCAGCCAATCTTTCTTCTTATGACATTTTTAGTATATTAACATTTATCAGTTACTGTTGCCTCTTATAAGATGCAGTAATAAAAAACTTTTCAGTTTTTGTTTAGAAGCTACTCAAAAAAAAGTAATAGCTGACATCTTCATAGTTTTTCTTAGTGACAAAATTGTAGCAGTATAATAAATCCTACCACAAAGATTATTCATTCAAAAACAGGCAAAATTCATAAAGCACTGGACATTTGAAATTTTTTATGTTGTTATATTTTACACCTCTTGGATACAGTTAAACCTCTGTTATGTCTAAATTAATGTTAAGTACAAGATATGATGTCAGATATTAATGTAATAGATTTGTCATTCTTTAAAATGTGTTTCTACTGTTCCATACAAGTTAGTTTTAGTGGTTGTTGGCATTTGGAAAATTATCTGGAACAGCTTTTTTTGTGTCTCCACAAGTAAAAATTCATATAGATAAAACACAACATTAATACTCTTCTTTCCTCAAAGTTAAAGATGTATTATTGTTGGTCTTCTTGCTGACTGTTTTATGTTAGTGCAACATATTCTTATATATGGTTTCCATTATATATAAACTGGATATTTGGCTTAACTTTTTATTTTTTTTAGTGAGAAAGGATTTGTATTTTATTGTTAACTCGTATTTGGTAAATTTAAACCATAAAGTTATAAGTAATTATTTTTCAAGTTAAATACAGTTTAGTATTTTATGTGTTTTCTCTAAATATTTTGAGCTTTTCTTATACTTGTAATGTAAAGATATTTTTTGTAATATTCCAAATTCAACTGTAATAGAACTATTGCTATTGATGTTAATATGAGGAAATAATTTGTATATGATGATATGAATATGTGTTTTGATTTGCTTTTATAAATAATTAGAAACTCAATATTTTGCATTTTTGCATAATGATGTACTGTGACAATGATTTATGTTTTCAGACAGGAATATTAGAGACTTGTGAAAACCAAAGTTCTCAAGATTTTGTAACTTTCATTGTAGAAGTAATTAGGGATAACTTTTTGTCAAAAAAAGGAGCATCAATTCCAGATCATTTACAACAGGTAAAAATTTGATATTTTTCATTTTACCAAACAAAATTGTTCAATGATTTATAATAGCCAGATTTTGTTGAAATCTTTAAGCTTTTTTAACCCTACCACTGTCGTGTGCATCACACATGATTCACAGAAACCACCTGAGTATCATATGTGACACACTGAGCTACATTTATTTGATATGCTGCTGATGCTCATGGATGTGGTAGTAGGAACTGGTCATCCTGGTTCAACATATGAGATTAGAAGAGAGCTTCATATGAGCATAACATGTGATTCTCAAAGTGCATGTGAATGGTGATAGATTAATTTACTTTCACTCAGTGGAAAATGTAAACCTAAGATAAAAACAACAAATGTTTTTATTAATTCTTTATTATTTTTTTTCAATAATACAAGAAGGATATTCTTCACTCATACATACATACATGGCTAAATAGTCAAATAAATATATCCATAAAAAACCATTAAATGACCTAAAGCAGGGAAAGACTTAAATAAACAGTGGTTGCACAGTCTTTTGCTGTACAATACATAATCTCTTATGATAAAGTAAAACTGATTTTCATTTGAATTACATCATTCTTTATAGCATACTCAGTACAGTTTCTTTTTTGTTTCCATTAAAATGTGCACAGTAGCTTTTCAACAATTTATGTATTGTATGCCACTGTTTATGACATTTTTTGCTAACTACTGAAGATCTTCAAACTGGATAGGTTACAGCATACAAGATCATATTTTATATCTCTTCCTTATTAAGTATTAGAATCGTATGAAACACGGTGGCCCTGCTCACCTCTTTCTATTTTTGGAAATACTCCCTTATATACATTTACTTCTGTCTGTGACATGTGAATAACCAATCAAAAGCCCAAATGTCTCCCTAGTGACTTTCTCAGCCATTTTAAAATATTATGTGATCTCATTCTTTCGGTACAAAGTTGAGTGTTTAGTCTGCTCAAAATTTCCTTTTTTTTTTAGACCCAAATACAACTTAGATACTAAGCTTGATAAACTATAGTAGTATCAGTATGGTAATTTATTATTTTTTTGGTTATTTCAAATGTTTGTATAAAGCCTAAAAAAAATTTATTTCGTCTCACATCCTCCACATGCAAAATTTTATGAGGCTTAGAAACCTATTACAAGCAGCAAATGAGTACATAGATCGTATTTAGAAGAGATAATTGTTTGCTTTACTTCTTTATTTACTGTTCTATGTTTTAAGAAAAATAAGTATAAGAATGTATTTCTAAATAGTAATATATAATGTATAATAATTGAAATGTGACTGTATTTTCCAAAATACTAGTCCACTTAAACACAGCCAAGATAGGACACTTTGAAAGATTAAAGGTCAGTTTTATATTATTGAATAGGGTAACATGAGTGCATGTGAGCCATGTCCTTGTAACTTCTGTATTACTAGCCAGGCACGGTTGAAAAGGTCAGTATAATAAAAATAATAAATTTATAATGTTATGAGATTTAAGCTATTTGCTCTGAACATTTGTGTTTTCATGTTATAATTTGTTGTCATTCTAGAACAAAAAAGGCAGGCATAGCTTATATTCATTTCCTCATTTTTTATGACGGTTATGAGATCAGTAAAATTGACTGAACCCATAGAGAGATTCGCTAGTGAAAATAACAGATAAATATAAAGTTTTTCTTAAGAAACGTTTGATAGCTATCTGGAAGTTATAAAGATTTTGAAAGTGAAATTTGATGATTTTCTGATGCATTAAAGTATTTTTAATCTTAAAATGAAAATCACTTTGCATATTGGATAGGCAGCATGCAAAAAGAAATAAGGGCATGAGAAAAATATTGATTAACAAATCTTCAGACTTAATAGAAAAATCTGATATTTTGCATATGAAACCTTTGTAATGTTTACTGATAAGCTGCCAAATTTTATGAACATATGCTTGCTAATTTAAAAGTTGTAGCATGAAAACTATAACAAGCACAAAATGGCTATGAGTTTGGTCCTAGGGACCTAGCCCATGCTGAAAGAATTAAAGTTTTTATATATTTAATACTTCTAACTTTCAATATCATGTGTATATCTTCATAAAATTTGTCAGTCTTTCAGTTAACATTATAAGATTTTCACATACAAAATATCATATTTTTTTTAGAGAAGTATTTTTAATAAACTAAAATATAGATCTGTCCATTAATATACTGAGTATTTGTTTTGAATAGTCCGTGTGCAAAATGATTTTCATGTTAAGATTAAAAATACTTTTCCTCATCTCAAAAATCTCAAATTTCCTTTGTGTAATCTCTAAAACCTCCTAAATGTTAGGTCGTCACAAAATTAATGTTACTTTTTTTTAGATGAAAAAAACTTGTATATCAAAACAAAACATTTATTATATGAAATAGTCTCCATTCTTATCGCTGATGCTTTTTCATCTTACAATCAGGTTGTT